AGGTCGGCGTCAAGATTGTTAATCCTTGGAAAGTTTACAGAACGTCCTCGATATTCACGATAAACATAATGCTCCGGGGCGATGCTGCGCGACGAAAATCAAAAATTCTGCGAGAACACGAATTTATGTTCGATGGGGAGGATTTCACGCGAGAATGCAATCGAGGCTCTAATAAGAGTCGTTGATTCTGCGTCTTCCTATTTGGAAAAGGGGATTATCGTTATATTTTATTATTTTGAGTAATCTCAGGGAACATCAAACCTTTTATTTAATTTAGACTAATTTGTTCGATAGACGTAGAGGGTACGAATACTTATAAGACTGACTGTATGTACCATGTTCAATATTCTGAATGAACATGATTCTTCTGGAAACGTCAGAACTCTTTTTCGCCGTTTCGATTCGTCTCTGAACGTCAGAGAATTTTTATCGGGGGTGCTATATATTTTCGTCGCGAAATAAAAATGGCAGCCAACTCGCGGCGAACAATGGAAAATATATTATCGTCACCGGCCGAGGACTATTTTTTTTTCTAAGCGCGTCCTTTTGCTTGTCACGGTGGAAATGCCCATTAATTCGGCTCCGAGGGCCGATATTTCATCGACTCCATCGAACAGCGCCGAGCGTTTTCGACGTTCTCAGGCCTCGCGTTGCTTGGCTTTTCAATTTCCCCTCTTCTCGTTTTCGCCTTTTTCGTTTCCAATGCGCCGTGTTAAGCTGGGATACACTTAACCCAAATGTTCACGTTGATTATTTTAATTGCGTCGTGTCAGGTGGCTAACTGGTATAGAGAAAATATTGATTATGAGAGTGGAAAGAGAAGCAAATACCATAATAAGCTGTTCGTTTATCAATCATTCGAGACTTGAAAGTTCCAAAGTTGAGATTTAGTTTACTCTTTTAATAGTGAAAGTGATGAATTCTATCAGTCTTTATAGAAGCCTTTATAGGAGTGATCGCAATTATGTCTCCGCGTAGCTGGGTCTATTTTTGTTTGGATCTCGTGGTCTGTAGTCGATGTGTCGTACATTCTAGGCAATTCATTCTGGCGAGGACGTTTGAGTGTAACTAAATATGCGTGCCTTCGGTAGACCCATAGATCTTGTTTATTCTGACTCTTCAGATGAATACTGAAGATGAATGATGAAAATTGAAATTTCTGAGCCTGAGATTTCGACTGCATAGTCCTCTGTCAAGGTTGAAAATCAATTATAGAAAAATAAACTACCCCAAAATCAAATCGCCAAAGAACGCGCAATTAAACGTTAATTTAATTTCCTCGCCTAGACTTATCTCGATCGCGACGTTTCCCAGGCCAGCGCCGTTAGGTTTTTCAATCTCCCTTCATCTGGTTCTCCTTTTTACATTCAATACACGATGTTAAGCCGGAACACACTTAACCCAAATATTAACATTGATTATTTTAATTGCTGCGGGTCGTGCCGCTATTAATAACCGTTTCAGAAAAGGCTGCTGATCATAAAGCGTGGAATTTTAATGACGCGCTCGCGAATACCCCGACGCCGAGCGTCGCGCGTGCACCGCCCTGCGTCCGCGGGCCGGGGGCCGGGGGCATACATTTAAAGATTATAGGAACCTATAAAGCTTTGGCTGCAAGCGCTGAACATTTTATAAAGCCGATTATTCGCAATCTCGAGAGATAGCGCGCCTTGGCCGCGGCTTTATTCGCGACGTTTCGGGGCCGTGCTCGGAAGGGAGCCTTTCTGGAATTCGAGGCGCGCCACGGGCGCTCAGACTTCGTCGCTACGAGGAACGTTTACAATGTATTTTGTAACGTGGGATCGACGAACTGAGGAAATCATTGTTCCAGGAGGATGAAATTTCCGAGTGTCTCCACTTTCGCTAATCCCCCCATTCTGGCCGTCGTCTTTTTCCCTGGAGAACGAATTCACGCTCTCGGAGAATTAAGGAAAGTCAAAAAGACGCGAGCAGGATGGGGCTGCGGAAAACTGAACTCACTTCGAGGAAATTGAACATATCGTGTTTGGAGAAAAATGCACCTGATTAGAGATTTACTTTTTCAAACATTGAATTTTCATGTATCGAGTAGTGCGCTTTCAAGGATAATACTCTGGTAAACAAAATATTAGAGTCGCGCGTGTAAGTGTAGTCGATATAACAAAAATAAATTGTGAAGTAAAGAAAAGTAAAAATACATATCCCTACTTAGGATGAAAAGTTCTGCAATAAACGGTAGAATACGCTACGTAAAGATCCATACCCCCACACATCCCCTGCAGATATTAACGATAAATACAAAGAAACATACTCTCGAAATATATAAAAATGTGCAGACTGTTCCTTTACTTTTCTTTCGGTATAATGATCGTCCTCAGGCGCCCAGGGCTGCTGACCTCCCTAAAGACAAACCTACAATTCCTTCCAGGCTCCTCCGACGTGCGCCAGGAATGAGTACCGCGTCATGATCAATTATGTCCCGCGTATTAATTGCGAAGCCAACAGAAGAGCGCACAATTTATTAACTCGCCGACCGGTGTAGCACTGCTAACGACGTTCGGCCTGAAAGGAGGCGTGCTTGTTTTAAAGCCAGTGCTTCCCAACAGGTGTGACGCTGCACACTGCCGCACCGCGACGAAAGTACGTGTCGTAAAAATAATTTGAAATGCGTTAATGAAAGATTTATTTGTTGGGAAAATCAGTCTGCCGTTTCTTAGATAGGCAGATATACTACAGAAAATATTCTTGGGTTGTGGCTGCTAAGCTAGTAACTATGCGGAAACAATCGTTTGCGTTAATATAAATTTTAACAGTTAGCAGTTCAAACAGTACTGTCCATCCTCTACCAATCTTAAACTTTCCCTTCATCTTCAACAATCTTCCCCCATTCCAACTTTCCTACCCTTCCCCCCCAAATAGAAACACAATTTACTACCCCCCTCTAATAATATCTAGTAAACTCCAAACAACTTAAAAGTGTCTTGACGACGTTACCGCAACTGAGAAAAGTGTGTCGTGACGTAGAAAAGGTTGGGAAGCACTGTTTAAAAGGGATCAAAAGCGCGCGACGCGACATCCGCGAGCGAGCAGCTCCTCCCGGCTGAAAGCCGCGAATCCGCTGCAAAAATTTTCTCCGGTTGCCCTCCCCCTTTTCTCTCTGTCTTTGCTTGTTTTCTACTCTTTCCAGGACTAGAGCGCCAGGGTGGGGGGTAGTTGGTGAACGCTTAGAAAGGGAGAAGGACAGGTGTAGGGGAGGTAGCGCGAGCGAAGACGCCGCACCGCGACAATTATACGCGACGCCTTATTATAATCGGAGCAGCTCTCGTTTAAAACGACTGAAACGCCCAGCCGGGACGACGGGGGTATAATAAGGGTGAAAAGAAGAAAGGAACCGGGCGAGGTGAATATAGGATTCTACACGGCCGCCCGGGCTCTCTGTTACCACTGCCCTAACCTCATTTAGTTAGAAAGTGTTTGCGCGACGAGACCGGCGCAAGATTTAATTGGAAACGCCTCGTGTCTATCGCTCTTCTGGCACCGGCGTTGAAACCGCTCCGATGAATGTCATCCTCTGAGCCCTCCGCTCGCCCGTAATTGGTCGCCTTTCTCGCTCCATCCGACCGCTAGGATTTTCCGCCCCTACGACGGGCGCCACCTTTCAACCCCGGGTGATAAATTTGTATATTCGGATTAATAGTCGTGGTCTAGTTACGTGGACTCGGTTTCGCGCTACGTTGCGTTGTCTTGCGAATACACCTTGGAAAAGAATGGCTGGATACTTCAAGAGTCTGAAATGGAGGGTGATCCTCCTGGAATATTCATTCTATTGGGATAGCAATTTTTAATTCGCGATCGGCAGATATTTTACGTGTCTAATACCGAGTACTCACGAAAATAATAAAGTTCTGAAGATATACAAAATATGTTTTGAAATAAAAATGTTTTAAAAAGCGTAAGCGTAATATTCAAGGGAGAAACGTCCCTTTAGTTAAGGGCACTGCCCACGAGCGTGGCGACAAGAAAATATTAACCTGTGTAGATTAAGCACGCCTGTCTAATTATTAGTTTGAATATTTATACAAATGTCAGGCTCGATATACGCGAAATATTGAACTATATTTGTGAAAACTATTTGCTGCCACCCCCCAATTGGTCTCCAATAATGCATAATGAGTCAGGGTTGGTATATTGTTTCGATAGGTTATTAAACATATCCATTTTGGACGGAAACAGCGTTGTTAATGCTTCGATCATGTGGGATAATCAAGGATAATATATATTTAATATCTGTTTAGCATGTACGGCCATTTATGTTTTTGCAAAATATAAGCTTTCTGTCAACATTGTTGAATTCATAATGCGCAGCTGACATAAATCTAGACTCATTAGAATATTCAGCTAGCCGTGTAACTCAATGAAGCATCGATAGAGGTAGAAATAATTAATTTCCGCGAATATGGAGTAATATAATGATAATAATTATCGTTATTATTTATTTATGGATATAAACCCTCGATATCGAATACGTTATGCACGCAATTAGGTTTGAACGCACCGTTTAATTTTATCGAGGAACTTCTTTCGACCATGTCGTCTTAGAATAAACGAAACTCGTACTCGTTTAAGTACTAAAATTAATTAAACGTTTTCTAAATCTATACGATTAATTTACTTTATTTTTGAACGAGCATTGTTTAGCCAAACTAAACTCATCTCTTCCTGTTCAAAGTAGTAATTTAACACCACGCTCGATGAATGGGAATTCCCGCTTGAAAGATCCAGGCTGGCCAATTCTACGAACTCGATCAGATCGACGATCCAGATCGACGGTTCGATTCCGTCGAATTAACCTTTTATTCGAATAACACTCGACGGGCTCGCCGTCCTTCGCGAACGGTTCTGCAAATTAGAATCGAACGGGAGCGTTTCCATCGGAGCCCGTCGCTCGTCTTCCGCGACGATAATAACGCAGAGGTAATCACTGCGGCCTAATTAATCGACGCTATTCGCGATTGTTCCAGGATGTTCGGAAGCAGCGGTGCCTGCTCGGGCTGTGGCAACGCGATACCTGCCAGCGAACTGGTGATGAGGGCGGGTGGATCGGTGTTTCACCAGAAATGCTTCACCTGCAGCAAATGTGGCAGTCAACTCGTTTCCGGCGATAGGTAAGACCGCTGATCGAACTGATTAATTGTTTCACGAGAGCTCTACCGTGGTGTTCGTTCGAATAGCTTCGAATAAAAACCTATTGCTTTGAATAAACAAAGAACAACTGTTACGTGGTATCCTAAGCTTATATTTCTATTTGTGGATCTCTTCAGTGTTTTAAAATATACCGAAGAATTATTTTTTTATAGTAAATATTTGGCAGATTTAAATACATAAGAGACATAACATTTAAGGAAACATTTAAGTATATTTCATAGTGCACAAACTACAGCTATTCATTTCTTCCATTTAATTTTAATAAATAGAAACTACATTTATGACAAATACTGACGAGGCAATTCAAACGAACAGTACTGTACGCGTTTCGCGGCGGCGGCGGGGGGGGGGGGGCTTCTTGACTCCTGGGGAGATAGAATAGGGAGCTGGAGATCGCGGCTTGGGGCGCGTCAGCGGAGGAATCGATACGAGGGAAATCGGCTGAATCGGTGGGAGGGTTTCGCGCTCGAACGGAAACCGGAGATATGAGTCGGAGAGGAAATGCGGCAATTAAAGGGTTGGAAAAGAGGCGTGTCACGCGGGGCTGCCGGTTAATTGGTGTGGGGCTTGCAATTGGGGATTTTGTGATAAAGGAGAAGGGGGAACAATTATTCTAGACCTGTAACGAAGCAAACTTGTTTATGAGCATCGATTTCGTAAATGCCCGCGCGCCGAATCGACGAAAACACTGTTAGCGGTTGATTATGGGACCTTGTTTCGAATCGTGACGAAGGAATTTTATTTTCCGGACCAATTATCATAGCACGCTTTTGTGGATCGCGTCGGTACGCACTGCAACCCTTTTCCAGAGAAGGAATCTGTTCAAAATTTAACCAAGAAGTAAACGGTATGGTAGGATTTCAATGTTGGAGAAATTCTTTTCGACCATAAATTACATTTTTGCGACGATAATGCTACTTGTCAGTGTTTCTTAAACTACACTCCGGAGACCGTAGGTGTTGTCAAGACCTTACTATTTTTAATACTCTGCTAAAGTTGTTTTCCTATGCAATCTATCTAATGAGCCATTCATTGCACAAATCGATTAACTCCATGAAACAAGAAGTTAAGAAATGCGATTATAATTATAAATATAAAAAGTTGTCTATACCAAGTGTTTTGACACTTAAATTTAAGATCTTTCAAAAAGTGGAGATGATCGATTTGTGTAGTAAACGACTCGTATGACAACATTGTGGACTCGATAGCATAGTAATCATCCAAGTGGCACTCTTGCTAGGTCTCTAACTAACCGGTGTGCTTTCTGATTCAGGTACTACCTGATGTCGGGTTCACCAGTGTGCGAGACGGATTGGCACAAAATCGTCAAGTCGTCGAGCGTGGCGGCCGCAGCCGCCGCCGCGGCGGCCGGCAATGGCGGCGCCCCGGTGAGGAAAGGTAAGGTCGGTCGGCCTCGAAGGAGTCGCGAATGAGGCGGCAACCCGGTCGGTCGCCCGAAGAAGGTGCAAGCCTCTCCACAGCCGACGCCACCCGTCGTCGTACCGTCACAGGTCGACGTCGTGGACGTCGGCGTCGGGGGGGATCCCTATTCGCCGCCTCCGCCGGGTCATCAGCAGTACCACCACCATCATCACCACATGGGCATCGTGCATCCGGGACTGGCGGTACAGCAAACGCACCTGCAGGCGTCCACCTATCAGGACTGGTCTCCTTGGGCTCAGGACACCTGCGATTGAACGAGCAATCTTTCGTCGATGCTCGAGGTCCAGGTCCCGCAGCCTCGACTGAACGAGAGCACGGGATGAACCCTCGACTTTCTGACCGCCGGTCTTCCGTTTTCTTCAGCGGGAACAGCAGAGAAGACTCTCTCGGAAGCCTCGTGGAAGCCTGCGACGGTGAACTGAACTCCCGAATACAGTGGCTCAGTTCGCGCAACCCTTCGGACAGGGTGGACACGTCGTCGTATACAAGTGACTTGTGCACGAGGTAAGGGGGAGGATCTCGATGGACGAGGACCGTGTTCCATGATATGGTGAACGAGTTTCGTGGTTTTCGCGATAGGACTTACGCGAACGAACTCCGCAAAGGAACGTTCTCACCGACGTTCCACCGATCGGAGACGACTCCGATCGCGTTCGACGCGTCGTCGCCGCGGTTCGAGGTTCGAGAATCAGTGCGCGCCGTCAATCGTAATCAATAATCTTTGCTCAATCGCGGAGAATCGAGGATAATCGAAGTGTCTCAAAGCACGGGCCGCGTGCAAGTTATCGTCGCCGCCAACGGTAACGGCAATTTTCTTCGGCTTCATCCGATTCTTTGATGCTCATCCGCGCTCAATCTATCCTGGTAATCCTGTTAATCGCACGTTAGACACCCGGCAATCACTTTCGCTCGTATTTCCCGACGTTTACGTTTCCCCCTCCTCGCGGTGCGTGCATCTGAAGCGATACGCTAAGCATACGAGGATCAAATGAAACGATCGAACCGTACTTCGGACCACCGGACACGTGGAACGAGTCGGTCGGGTTCAGATCGACTTGGGCGAATCGCGTTCGGCTGAGATTTTAATAATTTTTTAATGAAAAAGGGTTAGTTCTTCGGATAAAATTAATCCAAGATTTATTTGAGAAGGTTTATTTGAGGTTCTCGATGTTTACGAGGTGTCCCCACTTCAAATTAACGTATAGTAACACAAAAAGTCCTCCTAAGTTCAATTCATACTTGCAAAATTTTACCAACCCTCACTCTAAGTACCTAAAGTATTAATATCTTGAACCCTATTACCATCTCATTATTAGACTCTCATCGTCAAAAATTCAGCCGAACGAACAGCTCCCGATTGAACGACGCTAAAAACGTGATCGTCGCGGAAGCGTGATTAATTCGCCCAGGACGCGGCGTTTACGGAGGGATCGTGTCTCGAAGTCCGAAAAACTTGTCACGCGTGGAGCAAGAAAATTGCATCTGCCGGGTCGGATAATTCGGCGATTGAAACGGCGGCTCCGCGCCGGGTCTCGACCCTTAGAAAATTATTTTTCTTTGAAAATTACCGACCCCTTCGACTCGCCGTCCGCGGAGGAGGGGGTGAGGGGGCACCGACTCCGTAAACTCATTAAGCGTTCCTTGTTCTCGCGATCGTTAATCGAGTCTCTCTCGCTACGGGATAAAAAAACTCGACACCGAGGTGAAACCGTACGAACGGGGCGAAATTATCATTCGAATCTTCCTTGTTAACGCTCGCCGTGTCGTCCTCCGTTCTCCTTCGTCGCGGCGGTGCATTTTCTCTTTCTTTTTCGGATGGGGGGCGCGTGATCCGCCGAGGCACGAACGTAACGAGACTGAAACGAAACGTTGCGCAACCTTCGTCGAACGACTGCTGGCCCACCAGTGACCATTCTCGTTGGCGAACGTCCTTTGCATATCACGCGAACGAGAGAGGAACGCGCCCCCTCGAGCACGTGGAAAACTGTCGAGCAGGCATGGGCAAAATTCTTGTCTCAAATTTCAAACAACAAATGAGAAACAACCTCTCCAGCGTTACAGACTAAACGAAAATCAGATTTCAAAGTATAGAATGCAAATCATATTTTATCCTGAATTGAAACTGACTTAAAAATTAACCCATTGCGTTTGAGAGGTGACTTTCAGTCACCACCAGGTTTAACGTAGTAAATTAACCAGCAATAATGTTTGTTTAACTTTAATTTCTTGGAACTCGAAGTGTCAATAAAATGATTGCCGAAGGGGTAAGGGTGACCTGATTTTCAAATAACAAATCAGAAATCTCGTCTTCGAAGTCAATCTAAGCTCAACATTCGTGGCAGTAGAATGCTAAGAAAGCATCTCGAGTTCCTGGTAGATACCAGAAAAAAGGCCTCGAGTGCAAAGGGTTAAATATAAATCATCGGTAACCGTGATACGAATCACTGTATCTTCTGCTTATTTATCTATCAGTCGAACAGAATTCTGTCCATGTCCGACTGTCGAGCGACGACGCGTCAACGATTTGTTTTAGCGGGCGAGGATGAAGCGTGTAACATAACTTTTTCTAAGTGGCAGGGTTTCGACAATGCGCAATAAACATTTACGTAAATGTATAATCGTGAATACGTTACGATGTATCTACTATCGTCGGAGCCCGACGTCGTTTCCGGTGACGGGCCCCTCGCGTTCACCCGCTCACAGATTGTACAGACGTTTTTCCTTTCCGGTTTCTATTCGACGTGCGCTCGTATGGGAAACGAGGAACACGAGGGGAACGGGAAACGACGCGGGTTCGGGCACGCTCGAAGCTCAATGCGAAACTAAAGACACATGTTTTGGGTGTATATCACAACGGGGGCGGCTCTCAGGCTCGCTGAAAGGCGGCGATTACTCTTGTCGATTCGCTCTCTTGCGTCATGGGGATCCCCTAGACTTTCAGTGGTCGACGATGGTTAAAATCGGTGGTGACCCCTTGCTGGACGAATTCATTTTTTACCGAGTGTACCACGGTTAATTGACTGAGACATTTCTTGAGAGGGAAAGTATTTTTTTTTTTCGCTGTAATTCTGACATGCCAGTTTCTTTGCTAAGACGTGAAATTGACAGGCCAGCAAGTTTAATGTCATTTATTATTTCTCGAGATGGGGTAATTTTTTAATGTGCTTTAATCAGGTGGTGAAAGTTATATCCTTGTCTTGGGAACCTTTCCTTTTATAATGAATTTATTTGTATAAAGTGCATGGGATATTTCAAGAAGCTTGATTCTACTGTGACTTTCACCCCTTCGATTGGTAGTGTATTGATCAAATTAATTAGACCATCCAGGGCTGGTTTTATTCAATGATCTCGATCTTAAGGTTCATGTTCAGGTCTCCTTTGTACTCCTCTTCTGTGAATCAAGTTCAGAACACCACGTGTCGAAATGCAGATCGTCTCTCATAAATATAATAGATCTACTGATAAGATGAGAATGAAGTCAATACGTAAAAAGAAAAAAGAAACACCATAGTATTATTATAACTGCATCTGTCATGTAAATAAAATCATCAGAGGTATAAGTCTCGTGCTGCAAGTGGAACGTGATAGTCCTTACAATAATCCATGTAATGTACAAGTTTGAACACGTGGTTTTCTTAATTTCCTTTGCAACCCTGAAGAGGATTTAAATATGAGTCAAAACTTCGAGAGTAGTTTGTAACTACAAATAAATAAAACCAGCATCGATACTTTTGTTTGGATATAAAGATGGTTTGTTATTAGACGACATTTTACTATTTTGTGTCAATAGTATAGAGATAGTTAACCATGACCTGACATTGACTTTCTCTTGTCGTGATGAGATATTATTAAACATTAATTTTTTTGACGAACACGTGACGTTAAGTAATAATACAAAATGCAATTATTCAATTACGAATGGTGCCTATTATTTCTGCCATGTTTTAATTATGAGTCTAACTCGGTATTATAACGCAAGGGGTTAGCCGTACAACGTGACTTGTCATATTAGAAAGCACGATTTTCATTTCTAGAGGTGCACGTTCAATTTCAAGTGCATACACTTCACAAAGAAGCACCAGTTGTAAATTCAAGTCCAACTATAATAGAAAGCAACGATACAAATAAAAAAAGAAATAACTTTATTAGCTTAGATAGTCCTCGACGCTCGTGTTCTCTGAATTCTTTTATTAAATGCAATAAGACCTGCCTAAGCATCGTCGATTCAAGGGGCGCGGCACTTAGGCAAGATCGATAAGCGAAATTTGATCGCTCTCGTGTTTCCTTCTTGCTCAGCTTCGTTTCCATTGATAAATTGACCTCCTTGGACACATTTAACTGTTAAAATCCTTTCGAATCGATATTCGGAGTCCTTCTAGGATCCTCCGAGGATCTAGAAGAAGGATCGACAAGATCGTCATTACCATGAAGCGAGCGAGCGACCGCCTCCGCACCGTGCAACTGATCGTTACTCGTTTACCCGTCTCATTCTTAGCTGAACTTTTCACTCTCAGACCGCCACCGTGCGCCATTGTTGGGCAAAATATACTCCACGATCGTGATTACTCTCTGGTAATCACGATTAACAAATAATTAAACTTTAAACTAAAATAATTAAACCGAAAGATCATAAATTACCGATTCAGTCTCGCGGATTACAAGTGTAGCCCGTAACTCCCTGATTACAAGTGTAGCCCGTAACTCCCTGATTGATCCGACAATTGCAAACGTACTCGGGAAACGATCGCAAGACGATGATTGGCCAACACTGGCGCGCGTTTAGGGGTCTCTGAGGCTAGTATGAGAGAGCAATCCGGTGATATCGATGCCGAGAGTGGCGCGAAGCCGATTCCTGCGTCCATTGCGTGACGCACGGTGCTTGACGAGTGGATCCAAAGGCGATCTATCGATCCCTCGTCGTTCCTTCGATTTCGACTTCGACCTCGCCACTCGGCCGAGACAGCCCCTTCGATCACGGCGCGTGTCCGCGCGAGAGCAGACAGAAACAATTGCGAACAGAGAGCAACCGATTGGACGAGGAGTGTCGCGCTGATGGATCGTGTAATTTAATCTTGTACATAGGGTACATTTTGTATATTGTTAAAAGTTTGTGTGATATAAATGGTTATGTATTTACTATTAAAGCGGCGGATTGGGAGTTCTGCGCGCCCCACGGGCGATCGCGCGTGCCAGGACCGCTGGATGCCGAGCGTCGGGGATCGCGTTTTCCACGACGATCGATCGATCGTTCGGCTGGCTGGCCGTGGCGATTGGAGCGATTCTCGAGTCAGTTTCAATCTTGCGGTTCGCACCGACCTCATCGGTTCCGGTCAACGTTCAATCGATGGCGTTGTTAGCTTTTTACACTTGGTTATTCCTGGTTGCGTTTGAGGAAGCATGTGCGCTTGGAGGGTCAAAAGTGAGTTGTCATTTGTTTGCCATTTTTTGCAGGATCGAGTAATTAAATTTACGCAAGCAAGGTTTTAGTCATTTGTAAATATATCTTTTACGAGTAATTTGGTGGCTTGGTTGTTAAAAAATTTGTACAGGGTGCTGAGATATGGTTACTGGTGCTATAGTATATTTCACTATCATGGTTTAATGGCAACGAGGTGTGTCCTCTAAAATATTGATCTAAAATCAAAAACGAATTAAACATATTGAAGTGCCAGAGTAAATCTAACAAATCCATTAATTTTCAGAGCCTATTTTATTTTTAAATTGATATTCAATATAGCATGGCAGTCGTTTAAAATTAAAATATAAATTTTCCAAGCAAGGGTTGCTGATTTCGTGACAATTAAAAAAATAATTTAAAACTCGGAAGAAGACCCTTTACGAGAAGGACTGTGTTATAGCATTTTCCTCCCCTCCTAAGTGTACATGCATCCTTGAGGAACTGTTTTCCGTTCGACTTTTGAACACCAAATCGGACCTAAGTTGACGACGTACTTTTGTCGCTCTTGGCTGTAGGTGCTAAGCGTGATGATTCGTTATCTCGCACCAGACGATGATTTGTCTATATATACATATATGTATATATATCTTTTTTTTTTTTGAGAATCTTATGTAGACTGGCATCCAGTGGTGATGGCACGCAAACGTCCTCAGTTGAGCGAACACGCGGTCGGATCGCCACGGTCCCTCTGCGTTTAGTTAATTTTGTTATTTGATTTAATGTCGACTTCTTATCCGGGACCCGACATCTGTGAATGGTTTCGCGGCCTCTTGTAAAATACAAAATACACGGACACACATACAAAACACGTTTATTAATTAATAAAATCACAAGTTTTTAGAAAATCACACTGACTGTCGTTCGTTCACTCTGCACGTTGGGTGGACCTCAGCTTCCTTGACCAACGATCTGCGACAAGTCTCTTTCATACCCTCCCTCATGAATTAGACAAATAACAACGGTTACAAGAGTAAAAGTAACAGCAAAAAAAAAGTATAGCTATCAAAGTGGAATAAAATAAAAATCAGAAGCAAGCAGAAAAGACAATTAGTTGATCTGTTGCTCGAAAGAAATAAGGTCCACCCTACTGTAAACGTCTTGTCCACGTTCGACCACATCCATGTAACGTGGGATCGCCATTTCGGATCGACGTACGAGGTAAGTGTCTACTGGCAATTTAAAAAATTGAAATTTCGCGGTTGCAGTCCTCGCGACGAGATTAATCGAGCCAGCTTCCCAAACTTTTCAGGTTTCCAGCTAAATTTATCGAGATAAATTTTCGAAGATAGGGGAAAAGTTTCCAGGTGAACCGGGTTTACGAAAATTCCGCAAGTTTCCTCCGAGCATGGGTAATCGTCCCACTGTTTAGAACGTAGCCCAACAGATCGCAACCCCTTTCGGACTGGCCCACCTCAAACTTCTTCATTCATGACCGACGACCATGATCGTGCACTAACGAGCCGGATTTCGTTTTACAGGTACCGATGAACGCCTCTCTGTCCACGCGCGATATTCCCCCGCGACACGTGAATAAAGTAAACAAACGCTTATTGAGAGCTAGCGAGCAATGCTCCGCTCGCGGACAACTGAAAGGCGTCTATTGAATATCGAATTTCACGGCCGTGATTTCCGCGCGGCTGGAACTTTTAATAATAAAAAAAAAAAAGGTAAAATAGCCGTCTAGTGGTGTCTTTGTCCCCGCCGGGGGGTGTGAAGCCGCGGATCCAGAGCGGTATCGTTCTCCTCGCCCGATCCAGTTATTGCCAGCTGTCACCGGCAGTAACTGATTCTCACGCGATGCAACGTTAATGAGAAACACGCTGGAAAATAGTATAAGAACGCGTACTTTCGCGGAACTGGCCACTGGCGAACGTTCTTCGAACGACGTTTCGATTTACGTGGACAATGCTTGTTTCTTCGCCGTATGACAATTCCTGGTTTCAGCTTTGGGTGGTGGCAGGCGATGTCTCATGGCGAGTACATCACTCGAGATGGCAGCGATGTGCCACGGCGTAACGCGTACACTCCGTGACAGAATGATATGGCATACCTGGATATATTATTTGCATTTCGTGTCTGTGGTGATTCTTGGAGGCGCAGGGGTTGGAGCTTGGGCACCATTTTCTTGCGTTTCGGTTTTTGTTAGTTTGAGGGACTTGTTAACGTTGAGTTGAGAACATTAATTTTCTTACTAGGCTATTGTTAATATTGGAGTGATTTTGGCAGACTTTTTTGTGAGCTGATTTTTTAATTATAATTTAGTACTCATTGACATACGTGAAAAGATCAATTTAAAATTCAGAAGTGATGATCTTGGAAGGTACTATGAAACTTGAACATTACTTTTACGTGTAATTATAATTTCTAGAAGGTTTAGCGTTACACTAGCGCTATCGTAGCATTGCCATAACGTTTCAACCGTTTCCTGGACCCATTTTCTTGGCCCTCGTCGTCTTGACCCGTTAGCTCTCGATTCCGGCTCGCAGATGGTATCGATCCGTTTTATAAAAGTTGATAAACTTTTTACATTGGAATATTTTCGCGGCAAAGTGTAGGTTGCGTTGAAATATCCAATATTCGAAGAACGAAGGCATGAAAGAAGAATATGGAAGTGAAGGTTATTGGGAAAATACAATTTCCCCTTCTGTTGTGCATTATCGACTGAACAGTTTTTGTTCTTTCCCGACGCGTCTGTTTGAATGATACTGTATATCGCGATACAATTATAATTTGGGAAATGGAAACGATTGCGATACATAGTTTTTCATCCTGTTGATGGTAGTTATGCTACGAACAAATAGACTTGATGAAAGACATAAACGTACTTCCAATGACCAACATTTTATTTACAAATCTTTGTTAATACAAGTTTGCTAATGAAAGTGTCAAGGATTGCCGAAATAGTAAATAATTTGAAGTAGTGATATAAATAATCTCCCTAAAATCTACTGAAATTAAAATCACATTAAAACAAAGTCTTTCGCAAAGGTAGAAGTCACTTTTCTGGAGACAAAACATTCCACTTCGAATAACCTTTGACGCCTTACAGTGGGAAATAGAGACGTGGGCGGAATAACGTACGTAATATGCTTTTAACGTAATCGCAATTTCGTTGAAATGCTTTTAATAACGAACAATAGAATTGAATATAATGGCCATTGCTTCTATCGCGCGTATCACTTTGTCCATGTGTGTACGTACATACGATGAACGGAAACTATCGCGCGGCAACGGTATAACTTGAATACACACGGCGCATAAGCGCGGCACACTTACACGTTTAAATTGTCGCACACGCGGGGGACCGTAATTGGCGGCCAGTGATACTTGTAAATTGAGTTTCGTCCCCTGTAAAATAGATTCTGAAAGAACCAAGTAATTTCACCTTTCGCAACAAACAATTAACCGACTAATCGAGCGTAACGAACTCGTCAAAACCTTCTCGAATGAATTAAAATAAACTAATAACTCGAGCTGCACAAAACGAAACGCGCATCGGAATTGAAACGCCCAATCCAGACTAACATAAAATATTTGTTATATTTTTCGCGATCTGATTAATTTTACATCAATATTTTGCATTGTTTTCGTGTGGATGTTCAATTCGGATTTTTTAGGTACTTTGCTTGAATTTGTTTAGGTTTTATTTATATTCTTTTTTATTTCAAATGGATAACTGTGAACCTTTCTATACATTAGACTCTATGTAATGACATGAATTATTTATTGGTGTGTCACAGGACACCAGCGCCGCCAGCTGAGAAATTGGCGCCGCGTGGTGCGCAAGCTGGGTGCGTAGCAAACTACTCCTCGTCTACTATTCAAGATCGATGTATCATATTCCTGAGAGAATCAAAAGCTATTCTTTCATTCATTTAAAGTCTTCTCTCTTAATGACTGGACGTTAAAGACCTTACTAAAACTCTCAAAAACCTCTGGTATCACAGAATATTCGAATCGATTCCAACGTTCGAAGTCCCAAACGTCTCCAATCCTCCTCGAGACCCAGACTGGAGCCTCTAACCGTTCAACAACCACCAAAGGCCCGCGGACGCTATTGGTAGCGCGCTAACATTCGAAAGTGGCCCGATTCGTGGACGGTCGAAATGAAACTTTAATAATAGCGTAAAAAGCTGGGTTTAATGGGCGCGCAGACGGCCGGTGATACATTATTTTCGAGCCGACACTCTTCTTGCGATGGAATCCCTTTGAGGACGTGCAAC